CTCGAAAGATGTCGAACAGCACTTTATCAAAACTCCTTCATCCATAGAACGGCTAGGCTCTGGAATTCATTGCCTGAGGAAGTATTCCCAACAACATATAATCTCCAGAAGTTAAAAAAAAATTCCAATACCTACCTCCTATCCTTATCCTCCCTAGGAACGCACGATGTTCTTTGAACATTATAGGGATTCCCTTTCGTGCGCTTCAAGCGATAAAAAAAAATTCTGAAACACAATTGATGCTTTCTGAAATTCAATTGACTATTCTGAAATAAAATTGACGCTTTCTGAATACAACTGGAAAAGGTGTAGACGTGCAAATAGTCCCAAAAAATATGCTATTGACGTTCTGCTCCTGCTTCTGCTCCTGCCCTCTATATTTCCAAGGTTAAAATACAATTATTGATTGGTGTACAGTAAAGTTACAGATTTACCAGATGATTTGAAGGTTTCTCTAATTTAGAGGATATCTCAAGGCCACAGATTAACTGTCAAGAGTCAAGACACTGAGGGTCAAGACTAAGCGAAATCAATCAACGATAGTGATAATATGGTGATATGTTTGTGTTTGGAAGATGTGTAGGCAGAATGCAAAGTAGCTTCCCAAGTACTCACTCGAAATGAATATTATAATTATTATTCGCCATAAAAAATAAGCGTACGCCACCTATCGAAGTTCTTGAAAGCTGTCAAAGCGACCTGTTTACTTTGTTTCCATTGGTTTATTATTTTTTGTTTGTGCTTATTGGTTGGTCATATCATCAAAACAAACCTTTAAGAAGTGTTCAAGTTGTTGCCGTCAGGTGGAGCGATGTGTTATTTTCTATCGCGAGCAAAATTTCAATGCATGCATGGCTACTTAGAAAATGCAAAAAAAGCATCTTAAACCTAGATTTCACATAAACTGGTATTTCTTAAATGGAACACCCTGTATTTCATTATCCTAATCGATAGAGCTCTTTCTTCTGATTTCAAATATATATACTTTATTTAGGTTATCTTCGTCAGTTTTCGAAAAATATAGTCTAAAGGCCTTAGATCTACTTATACCAATAAAAAATCTATATTTTTCAAAAACGGACAAAAGATAACCTCAATAAAGTATACATAATTTGAATCAGTAGAAAAATAAAATACAGGGTGTTCCATTTGAAATATACCAGCTTATGTGAAATTTTTATGTTCACAATGCTTTTTTGCACATAAAAAATACTTCACTTTTGCCTGTCTGAACGTTTCTGTGAGACTAATATCAAATACATAGCTATTGGATAGAATATGAAACATCACCCTGTACATACCTACCTAATATAGCTTTTCGATTTCAGAGATGGAAGCTACCAAAAATATAAAGGGAACCATACAATAACAAACATAGATGACTGCACAAAATTATACCCAAACTGTGATCAAGCCTGAATTGATTTTTGTAGACATGCATAAAAGGAATAGTAATATGATCTTGGTATACCGGGTGACACTGATAATATACCCTCCTTTTCTCATTTGTCTTTCTAGCTACATTTCTTTCTCTACTTTCTCACATTTCAGGAATTTTTTTATATCTTCCGGTTTGCCTGAAATTGAAAACATCTTTCGATTTTCGAATGGAACGCCCTCTGTATTTTATTTCATTATCGGTTAAGGATTATTATTTATAAGGAATATATTCAACGATACCGGCTCGGATACCGGTTATAATAGGGTCATTCCAAACGATCACGAAGATATTTACGTTCCAAGTTTCCATATTCTCAATTGGTGTGACGTACAGCGCAATTTAGAATCATCTTTCTGTCACATATGGAATAAAATGCAGGGGGTTCCATTTGAAAATCGAGAGTTGATGTCATTTCCAGGAAAACCGGAAGATGCAAACAAATCCTAAAATGTGAAAAAAAGCCCTCTTAGTGAGCATATATTCGATGTTCCTAATTTCAGAAATATTGCTAAAAAAACAAAGGAGAGAAAGGGGTATAGCGTTACCATCGATGTGTTCACGTGGGTAACGGGTATAGTCTGTTATTGTGTCACCCAGTATACATTATATTTATTGATCAGAAGTTCACCTGTACTGTTAATATTTAAGTGATGTAATGATGAAAGACATTATATCAAAATCCAATACTGTTGAATAGGAATATGACTGAATATTAATGTTTTATAATATGAAGCAGGGTATAAAGTCTGAACAAATGTGTTAATTAAATGATAAAAGTAAACTGTCATAGGAAGAAGTTGAGGATATTGTGTCTTTGCTATGAAGAATTGTTTCTACAGCAAATGTAGTATAGCTGTTGATACCTACCTTTGTCGTTTGCGTTTAAAAATATCGTTCATTTTTTTCGATCAATGATAAGATGATTTCAGTAATTTTGTTCAAATAAATACACAAAGAGATTACAAGAACTTTCCTTTGTATGCACATGTCCCCCACCCCTTAATCCCCTCTATATATCCTAATGATGTCTTAAGAGTATTCTGGGTATCACTAACATTTGGCTTGAGAGCTTTTATATCTCTCAAGTAAGAAAGGAGAATATAACCATGACTATAAGAACCCCCATGTTGTAATTTTTTTCATTTAAACCCCTGTTAGTCCATCAAAATTATGGTTGCATGTGGAAAAAATTCAAGTTGTTGTTATCGAACTGGAAAGATCCAAGAAATTTCGTTGGAAATTCCAAATTCGGGATTCAGCGACCCAGAACAAATTGTAATGCAGTGAAACCAACTACCTAACTGAGCTATATCACTTATGTTTATCACAGACCACCAGAATCGAAAAACCAATTTCCAAGAATATACAGGGTGTCCGCTAAAAGGAGGTCAATCCATTAATCATATATTCCTTGAACAAAAACAATATGAGTTACTTAATACCATTTTTCATTTCAGCCCTTCATATTCGATATACAGGGTGTCAAAGTTGGAAATTGAAAACAGTTTTTTTTTATTACTCGCGTTTTTAATAAGATATCAATCTCAAAATTGCTACATTACTTCAGCACAAAGAGTAACATCGTGTGAGGAAAACAAAACAGAAAATAACTGCCAAATATTCAAAATATCGGGGGTCGAGTACACACTTACCCCCATATTTTTTTTGTACGTGCGCTAATGACTTCCAATCTATTTTTCTTCAAGTGTTCAATCATTTTTGAGTATTTTTTATATCTTGTAAAATTTCGATAAAATTATTTGTTTTTAAGATAATTCGAAAAGTACTGGTTATTGTTTGATGCCTATGCGGCTTACGATAATCTCGATAATCTCATAATGTTCACATACTCCTATTTATTTCGTCGAAATTGGAAGAGGGCGTAACTTTTTACGTACGAAAAGGTAAATATGGAAATACCGGGTGCTCAGAGCGAATGTATTAAAATAATTTTTACAAAAAAAATTGATAGAAATTCAACACGTCTAAATAAATTGCTCGATATGACCCATTGGTGTGTTATTTGCGAGGTTATTTGTTATCCCGTTTCTCGTGAATGTAGCTTCATCAGTAAACAAAATATTATTGATGAAACGTACATCTTTGTTATTCATGTCACATAACCATCTACAGAATAAAAGTCTGGCTTCAAAGTCTTGAGGCAAAAGAGCTTGCCCTTTTTGAATGTGGAATGGGTAAAGCTGCTGACTTCTCATAATACTGTGTACCGATGTTTGACCGGTTTTGGGGGGTGCGGAATTTTACAAAAATATTTTCGAGCCCCCCCGTATGGTATGTCAGGCGCGAACGAACGGGAAACATAATCGAAAAAAAATTTATAATATTTTCGGAAATTTTAGGTGAAATTATGATATCCATGATTTTAATGGCTACTTGATGAAAGACGTGGACGTGTTGAATTTTTATCAATTTTTTTTTGTTAAAATTATTCTAATACATTCGCTCTGAGCACCCGGTATTTCCATATTTACCTTTTCGTACGTAAAAAGTTACGCCCTCTTTCAAATTCGACGAAATAAATAGGATTATGTGAACATTATGAGATTACCGTTATCCGCATAGGCATCAAAACAATAACCAGTTCTAATCGAATCGAGAATCGAATTATCTTGAAAAGAAATAATTTTATCGAAATTTTACAACAAGAGACAAAAAATACTCAAAAATGATTGAACACTTGAAAAAAAATAGATCAGAAGTCATTAGCGCACGTACAAAAAAAATATGGGGGTAAGTGTGTACTTGACCTCTAGTATTTTGAATATTTGACAGTTATTTTCTGCTTTGTTTTCCTCACACGATGTAACTCTTTATGCTGAAGTAATGTACCAATTTTGAGATCAATATCGTATTAAATACGGGAGTAATTAAAACAAACAGTTTTCAATTTCCAACTTTGACACCCTGTATATCGAATATGAAGGGCTAAAATGAAGAATGGTATTGAGAAACGCATATTGTTTTTGTTCAAGGAATATATGGTTAATGGATTGACCTCCTTTTAGCGGACACCCTTATATACAAGGTTTTTTTGAAATGAGTGCACATATTCAGCACATTAATATGATACAGTCTAAGGAGTATTTCCATGATATCACATTTTTTCTAATTCTTCTAATTAACCAGAAATTTCATCCCAAAAATTTAACAAAATTCAAGAAAAAAATCAAGTATCCCAGTTTGAAACAATTTAGATGATTGAACTATGTGTGATTGTGCCTACCTCATGGAAATTTGAACAGAGGTGACGTCAGATTTGCTACAGTGTAGTACTTTGGGTGGAAAAAGGGGTCTAACCCCAAATTTTATTTTAATCCCTAAACTTTTTTTATTAGTGCCACTTGATAGTAAACAGTACACATGGAGCTTCCTCAGTGTTTGAAATATTTGCACTCATTTCAATGCCACCCTGTATATCTAACTGCCATTTACTATATGCATTGTGGTATCCTTTCTATGTGGAGACTAACAACCTTTTTTTAGTGTTGTCAACCTCTCACTTGATACCAAGGGGGGTATGCTGAGTTTAATGATTGGAGTTGTAATGAAAAGAAGTTGGTATAGGAAAAGACTTGTTAATAAACACTCTAAACACTAGAATAGAAAACACATAATAATCTGCCTCAATCACACTAATAGCAGCTGATAGTTAAATTCACAAATAACATTGGGGTTTGTAAACATTCCTTTTTTTACCTTCTTAAATTGTTGTGTACTTCCTTGGATGGAAGTGGAAAAATTATAATTCAATATTATTATGAGTGTTTGACTTCTATTCTAGAAAAATACTTAAACCTGTATATTACACCTAGGTAAACTAGTATTCAATGCCTGCACAGTTTTTGACAAATCCTTCACTGATGGAAGATTGTTCAAAATCAAATCATTCAAATTATTCAAAATTTTCAACTGGAGGAGCCCTTTGTCAGTTATATTGTGACAGCTACTGATCTGAAGATAAGACAATGAATTCTTCAGAAAGCGCAAGTCTTCCAGGGCTGAATCTTCTAAATAATTACATCTGTGTAAAATAAGTTTCCTAATATGTTCACATCCTTTGAAATGCTCAAATCCTTTGTGCATGATATTGGTGTTTGTAGCATCTACTTCTAGTAATTTCAGTATCTTTCCTTCTGGGGGCAACTTATTATAGTTTGAAACAGTTTCCTCAGTATTTGCCCACTTGACAGACCCTCCATTACGCAAAATCCATTCTGCACAGGTCCGATCAGGACCTAATATTTTTTTACGGTCATGATCCAAGGCATTGAACTGTAGATTTATCCAGTAGAACATAGTTCTCTTAGACTGGGTGGACAGAGAATAATTTGTGAATATCTTATATGGCATAATCATAATGTAGGTACTCTTAATAGAATGTTCTCATGTTAGTGTTTCACCTTTAGTGACCTGGAAGGGTTCAAGACTTCATAATTAGCCAGGTCACACTTTATCATGATTCACTTACGCAAGCTTCTAAATAGTCAATCTTTCTTTCCAAAGTAGTAAGTTTTTCGTTCAGCCCTGCAAGTTTAGATCGACAAGACAAATCTGAAAAAAGAGTAAACACAATACTGCTAATTTCTCACACTGGAATGATTTCGAAATATGTATGACTTGCTGTGACTTACCGAACGAATTGAGGAAGTCCGTTATTTTTTTTATACTTATAGTTATTATCTCAATATATTCTCTATTAACCCAATCTTGTTGGATTTGTTTTTGTACTGTTTCACCTCTATTTGGGGTTGCCATGTTGTGTTTTGTGTTGTTAGCACGTTGTTAGGTCACTTGTTTGTGACGTAGACGTAAGACGACGTAACGCAAACAACAAACAACATCACAAAAACACAGAACCACAGAACCACAGAACCAAAGAACACAGCTACTGTGACACAGCAATAACAGTACAACTGCCACAAAACTGGTTATTGATTATTGGTTCAGTGAGTTGAGCTAAAAAGGTTGCCTACGCCCCATAACCATTCGAAACTGTCGACACGCCTTATAATCCCGCGCGGCTAGAGGTGATTTGTTTTGTACATTATTTCGACAAAATGAGAGTAAATAACTCTAGTTATCATGATTTCAAGTCAACAATTAGACACAGAATATCCAACAATCAGGCAGGAAACTCTATAAGTCGGTACCTTCGATATTATGTATTCGTCTTATGGAACTCGTAAGTCTCGGATTATACAATTATTCGAATAAAAATCACAAATGAATAACCTTCCATCAGTGGTGGGAACTTTGAATGCGCAAATGCATTACTTCATGGGAGATACCCTCCGGATCTCATGATATTCAGTGACATGACCACGAACAACATTGATGTTTTCTGTGCAACCAAAATTAGGTCGATTCCATATAGTCCAAGAGCCGGCTGCGAATTTCGACCGTCATCTGATGACAAAATGTTAGATGTTCCAAAGGCAAGCAAAAAACATTGACGAATGGCACCTGAGCCAATCACTATCTTGATCAAAATGATTGAGTAATTGCACTTTCCTGTGCGGTAACTCACACTCAATTTCGCGATTTGATAACGAAAGAAGAAAAATACCATTCGATACCAAGTGAATGGAAGATCTCAAAAACCTATTTGTGTCACCCCAATCTTAGCCAAAACCACGGCAGAGCAGTTTATTTGCTGCCATTATTCTGGACATATTTCCGTCATGTGATAACGAGATGAAACGAAATGCAAATGAAAAGGGAGTAGCTCATCTGTGCGAATACCCACTGATCTAAGTTAGTGGTAGAGCGTCAATATTTCCGAGAATATTTCACCCCTTTCTGAAAATAATATCCGATAAACCAGTGTGAAACTTACGAAAGCATCCTGGTGTCACGCACACTTTTCTTTGTTTGAAAGGTCATTATAATGACTTCTTTCTCCTTATAATGACTTTTTTCTCATTATAATAACTGTTCGGGAATATCGGAACATGTTCATAGTCATTTTCCACGTAGGCTGAGTTTTGAGACATGTTTTAGCTTTTAGATTAGCTCAAACACAGAACCAGAACATTTTTGCTTTTTCTGTTTGGCAACTGATATATCTAATACTGCAACTTGAAAGCGCAGTGATTCGAATCACAGCAAGTTATAAGTTGCAGTGATTTGAATTACTGTAAGTTATATATCTCAAAATTTCGAATGAATATGATTCGGATACATGGAAATTGTGAAAATTTGGGAGCACTTAAATATCCGTCCGAATCAAAAACGTAGGTCGGATGAATGATGCATGGAATTGGAAATGCCTCTCGAAACTGCACCACCAGCCAGTAGCGGGAGCACGAGCACGCGAATGAAGCGAACAGCGTTCCTGTCGCGATTCACTTGGGAAAATGATCCGTGCTTGATCTTCTTCGACATCTTCGACTAATGACATTTCATTTGACATTATCTTTTCGGAAAAATGACTGACAGAGTTACATGTGACATAGTGACATGTTTGTCTTAAAATGTTTCCAAGTAAAGTTTGGCAAGTTTCCAGTTTCTTCCAAGTAAAATGTGACATCTGTGAAATAGACGAAATAGTATTAGTAAATAGTATGAAGTGGAAAGTGGAAGTGGTATGCATTTGTCGTAAGTAGTAGCAAATATATTGTATGATTATATTCTATTATAGTATATATTTGGACATCTATATATTGTAGTGTTTTGTAAAATATTGTGAATCAAAGCCATCTGCCACCAAAGCATTCTTAGCAAATCTGTTTTCTATGGGAATCACCGAGCATATTTATCAGGAAATACGATGTACAGATATCACAATCCAGAGCTACAGATTATAGAATGAGAATACCAAAAATATAATATATATTTTAATTTACTGAGAAACATATACAATGCACCTATCCTATGGGAGCACCAATGCCACTGGGAAGTGGGACGTGGACGTACGACGTGTGAGGTGGGAACTGTAGCAGCGGCTGCAGCTCTCATTTTCAACCAATATACAGGGTGAATCAGTTTTTTGTTGCAGGACTTCATCAGCTTGAAGAACATATTATCAAGATAAACTGTTCATTCACATTCACATAATATTTTTCAATGTTGGTATACTTACCTCTCACACTTGATATTTGGGGCTATTGGGCGATTTTGGTTATAGTATAATATCCAGTATATCAATATGCAGAACTTTTTTCTTGTCTATGGGGGAATGTTGTGAAAATCTAGGATTGGATAGATCAAATCATGCTGAACAAGTAATGTCCTTTGGTCTAAGGCCCCTTATGCCTGTTAATAAAAGTTATGAGCTCTTGAAGCCAAAGGAGATAACTTTTACCAGAAGTACCAGAACAGAAGAAATTCTATGTCAGTAGATGGTAAATCAAAAGTAAGGATAGGAACATGAAAGCCATTTTGAACAATAATCAATAGTTTCCACACCAAAAAATTCTAAATTTGAAAAATCTCGATTTTGAACACCCTATTTTCTTTAATCATTCTCGCTAGACCCAAAGTGTCATGCATCCATGAAATCAGCTCTTCAGGGAGTATATGTAAATGCAATGAAATACAGGGTGTTCCATAAAAAAATCAACTAGTACCCTGTAGATTGTTTGTTCCGAGCACCCTGCATTTTCTCTGATTCAGCGGAAAAATTTATCAACAATCATTTCAGAAGATTCTTCGAATTTTGAAATTGGTTCAAAAATAAGTGAGCTAGAGGGGGGGGACATTTATGGTGAATCACCTCTCTCTGAAAAGGGGTCAATTTATTTTGAAATTATATAAGGAATTTTTTTTACAGGAGAACTGCCCACATAATATCATGGTTTCAAAGCCCCATATGTGAATGTGAATTTTCATGAAGGGTTTTGAATAAATAGGCACATCTAAACAGCCTTTTTGCCAACGTAAATAATTATTTACTGGGAATCGGTAAGTTCAACGAAAAAAAGTATATTATGTTTTTTCTTCCGAATCATAATTTATGCCTACCGCTACCGGAGCTATTGAACGTTCCATAATTTGTAGTTAATTGAATCCTCTATTTTTGCGAGGCAGATAATGACAAAAATGAAGCCAATCCAGTTAATTCAGAATGAGGTGATTTTTTGCATATGGACGTTTGAAAGCAAAAATCGCCCTCTTTTTATTACAATAAAAATGCACTTCTATGTTACAAGGTTCTCTGAAAAACTGATCATATTGATGGTTATTCATAGCGGTCAAAATCATGTATATATAGAGGAGGGGCCGTTTAAAGTGAGGAACGCTGTACATATACATACAGTGTGACCCACTTCTAATGGAAACACCCCTGTATCTTACGTAATCGTTGGGTAAGGATCTTGAAATTTGCTAGAGCGAGAGATATACCAAAAATACACTCCATGACCAAGTGTGATATACACTGCTCGTCAACAGCCATGGAACCACCCCTATATTTCCGTAAAATGATATTAGGAGTCAAAATAAGTTGGAAATCACTTCGGATCCGTAATCAGGACGTCCAATTCACTAACTATTCATAGTTCATATTCCTAGAAAATTTTCAGTTCAGAAAAATTAAATTTTGTCTCACTTCTCATGGAAGCACCCCCGTATCTCACGTAATTATTGGGGTAGGGTTCTGAAATTTGCAGGAGAAAGGGAAAGTCCAAAGATGAAGTCAATTACGTAAGATACGGGGTGCTTCCGTAAAAAGTGCGACAAAATTCCATTTTTCAGAACTGAAAATTTTCTAGAAAAAATATGAATAGTTAGTGAATTGGGCGTCCTGATTCCGAATCTGAAATGATTTCAGACCTATTTCCACTTCTAATATCATTTTACGGAAATTGGGGTGGTTCCATGGCTGTTGACGAGTAGTGTATATCACTGAAGATGACTCCACTTGGTCATAGAGTGCATTTTTGGTATATCTCTCGCTCCAGCAAATTTCAGGATCCTTACCCAACGATTACGTAAGATACAGGGGTGTTTCCATGGGTCACACTAAAGAAAATTTTATGGAAAATAGTTATTTGTTTAACTAGGCAGCAAAGTAGTAGATTGACTGCCGAGGCTGAATTCATAGCCGAGCGTAGCGAGGCTAGGAATCCAGCTGAGGCAATCAATCTATTTTGCTACCGAGTTGAACATATAGTTTTTTCTCCGATTATTCATAATGATATATATCTCTTTATTTTTCCTGTAGTGTTCAATTAAAATAAAATTTGATAGAAATCGCAGTTGTTGGAATGGTTGGTTGCTATGGAAATGTCCATAATAATTATAGTTTGACAATTCATGAAATTTCTGACAGTTGTGCGAAAAATGCGGTATATTTAAATTATTATATAATGGACAGTGATAGCGACCTGAAAGTACTTACACCTCTAGAAATGAGGCAGGTGGAAAAAAATATAGAGTTGAATTTGTTGCCGGAGAAGTTTCGGATGGAATATGAAGGAAATTATAAACGATTTATCGATTATTAATTTTGCTGATACATATCAATCAGCAAACTAACCACTTAGCTGCCTAGGCAGGAAAAGTAATATTTTGCTGATTGATATGTGTCAGCAAAATTAATATTTGCTGCCTATCGGAGAAAAAAATATTTTTTTAATAGGTAGGTACTGGTAGATACAATGACTTTTCTGAACACTTGCTCAATAATGCCTTCTTTCTCGAAACAACTTAAGACCCCAAAATACACTAATAGTAGTATTTTTTTGATTTTAACATGTAATTTGACACTTTTTAAAACTGACGAAAGTTATGAAACGTCTAACTTTACGTAACTAGTTGTGTAAAGTGAAATATTACATGAATGGTGATGAAATGT